GGTAGCCTGGGATAAAGACTGGGTTTGGGTTTAGTTTATACCTGTAGAGATTAAACGTGATTCTCTTGTTCATGGAGCCATAGGAGGTGGAATTTTCTGGTGGAGAAGAATGGGGTTTGGAATGGGATACTTGAGTGCAAGTCCTGATGCTTTTACTGTGGCCTTGTACGTGTAATTTAATCTTCCTGAGCCTCAGTGTTCTTCCTCGTGGAATGGATATGATGTCTACCAGGGAGATAGCCTGTGAGTAGTGGTAGGTTATTCATGAGGCAACCAGCACTGTGACTGCCACAGAGAGGGAGCTCAATAATGCCAGTGCCCATCAAGTGCTCCTGCTCATGGTGTCATTCATTGGTTAATCATATGCGGGTATAGGAGCTGGAAAGACAAGGATAAACAAGTTCAAGGACAGGGTATATTCCTAATCTTAAAGAGCTTACAGTCTAGTAGGGAAAACAGAGGAATAAATATACAAAACATTCCCAATGTGTTTAGCACCAGGAGGGAAATGCATGCTGTCTGCCATGGCTCTGTGCTAAGCCCTAAGGGTGGAGAAATAAAAACCTCTGCTCTCAAAGGGCACACAGTGAAGAGACAAGCAGATGATGAACAGCCACCAAGTGAGGAGTGCTGTGTTGGAGAACAGAACACCTGGTGTGAATCTTAGAGGGTGAGCAGGGTTAGCCAAGCCAAGAACTCAAAGAAGAGTTTTGCAAACGGAGGGAGCAGCAGGTGCCAAGGGCCTGAGGGAGAGCTTTGTGCAAACAGGGAGCCCAGGGATGAAGTCTGCACAGGGGTATTAGGAAAGGGGATTCCTGGAAGATGGGCCTAAAATTAAGAAGGAAACTGGGTCTAAATAGTGTGTGTATCTGCTAAGAAGCACGGACTTAATCCTTTAGGTTGTGGTGAGTGATGGTGGGTTTCAAGCAGAGATATAATTTGTTTGGGCTCAGGGTTTAGAAACATGTTGTGTGGCTGGAAGTTAAGAGAAGGCATTGGAAGAAGACCAGGTGAGAGGTAAAGGAAAAAGACACAGAAGGCTCGTGTTCCACCCAGGAAGAGGGGAGGGTAGAGGGAGTGTATAGAGATGACCCAACAGCACAGGGCAACTGAGGCCTAAAGAAAGTGAGAAAGGGAGCATGCTATTGGAAGGTAGTGAAACCTTCAGGAAGTGTAAGTGGGGCCATTTGTGAGAGAGTTAGGTCACTGGGGGGTGTGCCCATGAAGAGAATATAGGAATCTGGGCCCTTCCTCTTTCTCTGTTTTGCTTCCTGGCCACCATGAAGTGTAAAGTTCTCCTGTGCCATGAACTCTTGCCATGATGAGTACAGACCCAAAGCTATAGGGTCAGTGGGCTGAAACCTCTGAAACCATAGCCAAAATAAATTTTTCCTCACTTTTAAGTTGATTACCTCTGGTGTTTTGTCATAGTGATGATAAGCTGACTAACACTTGGAAGCAGTGCAGACAGAGTCAACCATCCTGGAAGGTAGTAAGCATCTAGATCCCAGGAAAGGTTCAATAAAACTTAATGAACCCCATGTCAAGGATGTATTGTGACCAGACCTGCACACAGTGGTGCAGGAGGGTCTCTGGTACACTCCAACTGAAAGAGTTGAGGACTTTGCCATCCTTCTCTCCTCTCACTTGCCTGTTTCACCTGGACCCGAGGCCTGGGCTATTGCAGTAGTGTCTCAATAGGCATCCCTCTCCCAGTCTCTGCTACAAACTGACCAGAAAAGGAAGCAAAATGGAGAAAATGAGGAGAGGAGAATGTGGAAAAGAGAGAGAGCAATAAAAGGTGGGTGGGGTAGGGGGTTCTAGCACCTTTATGACTTCCATCCAGGAGAAAGAAATGCCGGGGTAGCAATATCTGGTTTGTTACCTCCTCCCCTTCTCCAGTGTGAGTGTCCTAGTTCTTCCCCGTTTCAGCATCTCCCCCAGCTCCCTGACTCTCCTGAAGCCTCCAACACCCCTTTCTGCACTCCTGGAACTAGCTACCCTGACCTCTCCCTCACTTACCAGTCCCTTGTCCTGTATCCTCAATCCAAGGGTCCCAACCTGGCTGGGATGCAGAGGAGAGCCAACTGCCTTAGCTCCACAGTCACCGTCTTCACCTCCTTCCTCCTTTCTTCCTCAGAAAGAGAGAAAGTCAAAGCCATAAGTAGACAGTGGGACAGAAGGAAATCCATGAACAGAGCCGTCCAGAGGTTGGGGGAAGAGCAGATGCCAGGTCTGAGGGGCCAGATGCAAATGGGAAGGAGGTAGAGGCAGGCAGGCGCCCAGTCAGGGAGAGACAGGGACAAGGACAGGCGGGAGCATCAGGAAGGGCTGGTCCAGGTGTGAGGACTCTGTGCCTCAGGCCCCCTCCTCCGCCCCTCCCCTCCTTACCTGGCTGTGTGTGAAGGATGAGTCAGGAGCCTGCTGGGTCTTTTTAACCTTCTGCTCCTGATCCTCAGGGAGGACAAGTCAGGCAGCTTCTTAATGAGCCTCTGTGCCTTGGGACCCTCCAGGCCCCACTGCAGGCCCCCAAAGCCCTGAGCACACATTTAGCCCCCTCAGCCTGGCACCAAGGTCTCTGCACCAGCCCCCCACTCTCCCTGCTCCCCACAGCCTCTCTGTGTTTCTCCTGACAGTCCAGTGGGAACAGCATGTGAGCATCCACTGGAGTAAGTGCATGGCTTGAGGAGTACAGGGTCCCAGGGCTGGGCAGGATGTGAGGGAAGCCTTCCATGGGCCCTAAAGAATGAATCAGGGTTTCCCATGGGCTGGGGGCCAAGGTCGGGCTCCTGGCTGTTCTCAGCCCCTACACAGTGCCCCACTCCACCCTCCCTACCACGCTTGGCTGAATACCAGCCTGCACTGTGTCCTGCATAGTGTGGCCCCCAAAGACCATGACTTCCTGCAGGGAAAGGAATGTGCCCCAAGCAACTGTGGGATCCCTCCCTGAACCTGATCAAGATGAAGCTAGTGACAAATATTCTACATGGGAGCCAAACCCTGGACAGGCAGCAGACTTGGGATCAAATCCTAGCTCTGCCATTTACTCATGGTGTAATTCTGGACAAGATGCCAAACACCCCTCAGTTTCCTCATGAGCAAAATGGGACACTGACAGAATAGGGTAGTGACGGGGTTAAGTATGATCAGGCATGAAACAGAGTAAGATATGCATGCTTGACATGACCCCAGTGTGTCAGGTGGTGGGTCTTCTGCTTGTCCTACAAACATATGTTTCCATCATTAGATTCAGAGTGATGAGGGGCTACAACTTTTCCTGCTCAGCCACCCCTTCTACTTCTTAAACGGGTCAGGGCATATGACAAGTACTTCATAACTGTGATCAGTCAGAATCAATCCCAAGCATAGATGGGGAGATAGCCCTTTGGGTGACATAATGTGGGAAGTCTGATGTAGGCTTTGATTTAAAATCAATAGAATCAAATATTAGGGCATGTGTGCTGGGCTCTGGGTTCAATTGCCATCACCACCATCACCGTGAGAGCTCAGCTCTCATGAATGGAATAATGATGCTGTTTCATGGGGGGGTGTTCGTTATTGTGAGAGCAAGTTCTTTATAAGGGATTGGTTTGCTCCCTTTTGCCCACCACCCCGTCCTTTCTGTGCTTCTTCTTTCTGCTATGAGACAACTGCAAGAAGGTCCTTGCCAGATATTGGCACCTGATGCTGGATTTCCCAGACTCCAGAACCACAAAGCTAATAAATATTTATTTATTATCAATTACTCAGAATTGGTATTGTCAGAAACACACAACGGACCAAGATGAAAATTGATATCAGAGAAGTAGGGCTGTTGCTATAACAAATATTGAAAATTTTGGAACTGGCATTGCACAGGGGCTGGAAGAGTTTGAAGAAGCAGTCTAGAAGCGGGCTGTTTTCTTTTTGAATATAAACAATTTATTTGATAAATTAATGCCTTTCAAAAAAACAATGCCAGAACATTATGCTGTTGAGCATGCTAGTCAAGTTCATAATGAAGCACCTGTGCTCATGTTAGATTGGGGGACTCACTACTGCTGGGGATTCCTGGAACCAAAGCCAGAGCAGTGCTAGTTATCTGCTCTTCTGCATAGGAGGTAAAGAAAATTCCTGAACAGTGAACTTCCTAATCCTACCTCCTACAATACACATAATAATTTTTAAAAAAGTGTGACAGCTAACCTACACTTATACACAGTCACTCTTCAGTAGTGGTTGTTATTAAATGAAGACGAAATGACCTGTTTAACCCAGTCTCAATCCTTAAAACAGAGAAATACATCCATCGGCAGCAGGTAGTTATATATGTGAGCGAAGTTTAACGTAATACAGAAAGTGGAGACAACTCTACACAGACCCACATAACGAGGCACTGGCAATTCATATTGCAAGCTGGGCGACTTACATCCATACCTGGTGAATGACCTGCTGTGTGGACAACCTGTATTCGAGATAAACCAGCATTAAGTTAGTGGAAAGAGAATCTGAGACCACAACATGCAACCCTCCAAGATAGAGAATTCTAAACCTGAAAACTATAGCCAAAGCCAAGGTCTGCTATTCGGCCTCATGGTCATTTCTACCCATGAATCAGACCTTGGAAAGTAAGAGGTCATGAGAGGTCATACAAAAGTGCAGGTGTGAACCACAACTTCTGTTCTCCACTGCCAATCACAGGCAAGGGGCTCACCACCATCCACTCAGCCTTCTCCGTGTCCTCTTCCTGTGGTCCTCCTGTTAAGCTCTCCGTCCACATGGTTGC